CAGGTGGCTTGTGCAGGAGGGCAGGTAGGCTCCACTGTGGCCGCAGGGTGGTCGGCGGGCAGGACTGCCCGGGGCCCTGGGGAGCAGGCTGGGGGACCCCACTCCGCCATTTGGGTGGTGTGCTTGACAGGCAGGCTGGAGCTGAGGGCCCCCTCCTTCCCCACAGCGTCTCCCCTCCACGTGGCGTCTCCCTCCCACCTGGCGTCTCCCCTCCTTCCCCACAGCGTCTCCCCCTCCACGTGGCGTCTCGCCCTCTGCCGCTGGCATCTGAGAGGACGGTCGGGGTGCGGGCTCAGAGAGCGATGCCTGTTTTGAAACAAGTGTTGTTGGTCCTGGCTGGTGTGGGTCAGTGGATAGAGCTTTGGCCTCTGGACTGAAGGGTCCTGGGTTTGATTCCCGGTCAAGGGCAGGTACCTCGGTGCAGGTCTGACCCTGGTTGGGGCGTGTGCAGGAGGCAACCAATCATGTGTGTCTCTCACATCGATGTTCCTCTCTCTGTGTCTCTCTCTAAAATCAGTGGGCAGCGTCCTCGGTGAGGACGAACAGGACAAAACCAAAAGGGAAGCAGCAGGTGCTGCTGGTTGTGTGTCTGAGGCCCCTGTTGTGTGTCACAGGGAGTCCTGCCAGGCGGGCGGCCAGGTCGTAGAATCGCATGTTGGTGGCCACACCGGAAGGCCCGGCTGGGCCTGGTTCTGTGGGAGCTGGGCCTCCAGCCCCCTCTGCCCCGTGTCTGGCCCAGCTGGGCCGGCTCCCGGCGGTCCGTGCCGGCTCCCACTCGGACGCGGCCCCGGGGCTCCCATCCCGTGGGTGGGGCGGGCCTTCCTGCCGCCGGGCGGCTGCTGTATCAGAACCTTTAGAAGCGATGGCCTCAGTGTCCTGCCCGCCAAGGACCAGCAGAGAGCAAGGGCAGGGAGCGCTGTGAATGCAGGTGGCGTCACAAGAAAAGCCGTTCCGATTCTTTTCTTAAAAGTATTTCTTTACTGATGTCAGAGAGGAAGGGAGAGGGAGGGAGAAACATCAATGAGAGAGAATCCTGGACCGGCTGCCTCCTGCACGCCTACCCTGG